AAATCTTAATGTAGAAAATATGTAGATAATTAATTAATACTTCAAAAATATTCAATTCGTGAAAATTTTGTAAATTAAGCTGTGATTTATATCTTTATTTACGAGAAACTGTAATTTGTGATACTGTGTGCATTAAGTATCTAAGATTTTACAGTCTTTAAACAACAATAAACAAATATACAAATTGTTTTTTATGTACAATTTGAAAACAATATTGACATATTAACGAAAAAGCCTTCATCAAATCAATTTTCTCAGAATGTCTACTGTGGCACAGTGTATGTCTGCGGTTTCGATATCCGTGGTGGGCCGAGTACAGATAACCCTTTGTGATGCTTTGTGCTTAACTTCAAACAAACTAATAAATCAGAATTTCTACGGTAGCGGCATCTATTAGTTTTAAAGAGAATTATTTTTCTGGACTAATAACTGAGTCTAGTACGTAAACTAACTGTTGAAACAAACATTTTTATATTTCAAGTTTATAATTTGTCCTCAGGAAGCTAAGTACTAATTCCAATAACGTTGTGAGTTTACATATCTGAAATTTCAATTAGATAATTTTCTCTAAAGTATAAATAAAAAATAACTACGAATTTAAAACAGAAAACACAAGAAATCGGTATTTTAAAACGTCCCCGGAAAATTTGTTCTGAACTGTTGTAGATTACATCTTTAATTTCCACTTTGCTAAACGTTTAAAGAAGTGGGCATGAAATGATAATAATAACAATACAAAGAAAAGGGGCTTTACAGAAGCTGCCTTGGGCATATTACGTAAAAATCTTGGATACGCATAAGTAAAAGGATAGAGCTTTAAACAACACTTTTAAACATAATAATTCCAGTACAAACTCACACGCCACACAACTGAAAATGGCAGAGAGGTCCAATGAGAAACTGACATTAAAAAACATGAACGCGCTCATAACATTTCACTGTTGCAAAACAGACGAGACTGAGAAAATGTCTGATTTTAATACCATATCTTAATATAGAACCTATCTGCCACTTGGACGTCTAAAGACCGGAAAATACTAAGTAATAATACTTTTTGACTTTAGAATTACGAGGACCTCGCACTCGATTGTGTATTAAAATTTAAAAATTGGCCATTTTTAAGCAGATGCTCTATTAAAATTTGGAGCCCTTAGATTGGCAGGGATACAAAAGGTACAAGCTTAACCAGCCTATTCGGAAATCAGACTCTTCTTATACGTATGATTGTAGCTTAGCTAAAGATATATGTATTTGATTATTTGTAGGTTAACACACAGCTACACAATGGACTATCTGTGCTATGCACACCTCGGGTATCGAAACCCGGTTTCTATTGTTGTAAGTCCGCAGACATACCGCTGTGCCACAAATATATTTATGTAATTGATAAAATTTTACAACGTAAACAACCCTCAAACACATCTTTTATAACAAATGAAGCACAGTTAAAGACATTCATATAATCGATAAACCACTTAAATCAATAAATTATTATTTTAAAGTTTAGAGAAAACGAGGGTTTTAGAATCGTTAAGTTGAGATAATTTGATACGTAAATTTCGATGATTCGACTTTCAAACAGAAGGAACTGAAATCAAACGGATTGCATAAAACCATTGTACGATCGTTGTATAAGGAAATCATTATTAAAATGTGATGTCACACGAAACTTTGATCTATTTTTCTACTAGAAACAAACAAACAAACAAAAAAGGAATGCATCCACTGAAACGTAATCCTACAGCTGTACATTAAAAATATCTGCCTTTGAGGGGAGCTTGCTCTCATTGAACAGAATACGTCTGGAATATGGCTGTATATAGCTCTCACCCTTTGGATAAGAAATATGTAATACTTTGTTAAATCATAAAATAATAGTTTTATGAAATATTCCTGACAGACCTAGGGACAGAGTATGGATAATAATGTACATACATACATATACCAGTTTTTGCATATAATTTAACACTTTTCTTGATACTATTAAGTTCTGAAATATTTCTGACAGACCTAGGGACAGAGTATGGTTAATAATGTACATACATATACCAGTTTTTGCATATGATTTAACACTTTACTTGATACTATTAAGTTTTGAAATATTTCTGACAGACCTAGGGACAGAGAATGAATAATAATGTCTTCTACAGTCTTACATGTCGGAAAGAGCACCTTAAAAACAAATCAAGAAATTCTGGAAGACTGTTCAACATTTAATCTGAATACTATAGCATACAATACTATTTTGTTTTGAAATGTAGTGTTTGATATGCATTTTAACGATATTACAAAATTTCAACAAAACCTACTGCATTTCTTAACCCCATAATAGAGAAATATGGTTTCTTTTTAGTGTTTTTTGGAGAATGTATTAGCTATGTTCCTTAATGAAGACAATGTGAGCCTGAAGAGTTTCTCCAATATCAACACTTCTGACAGCTTGTTCCGTTTACTGTGTTTTTGTTCTTTAACACACGGTATTGTGTTATTTTATGATTAATGGAGTTTTTCTACTAGTAAAATTATTTAAATAACGAATTATGGAATACTCTCTAGGTGATATAACAAGTGATTAAAAAAGTTACTACTTGGGACAATTTGATCATTAACCTTATGCCACTGTTAAATGACAATACTGGTGCCCAATCTGTCGTCTGAAGTAATTCAGTCTGGTCGTCAACATCTTGCTATTAAACGTTAAAAAATGATTACCCCCCTAGTAGTCAACATGTTAAATACCCTCTTCACTTGGAAATATCAGAAGCTATGAATTAGTTACGTTATCTGGAGAAGTATTTTTTATAAAACCGACGCTAGCCGTCTCTAATTCAGAAGTAATAGGCTATAGGGAAGGCAGTTAGTCAACACCACCAACTCTTGGGCTACTTTTTACCAACGAATGTAGCAAGATATGTCTCATGTTATCAATAGTGATGTCCACTCATAGAGAGGGTTTTGAAAATGTCAGAATGGTTGATTTTTGACGAATTCCTCGAAAATATCATTTGCAGAAATTTGACATACAATATTTCAAGTTTAGGATTTCCTAATTAGATGTCTTTATTAGCGAAGAAAAAAAACGAGACATAAAAATTTCTCCGTTAATCATCATCCCCCCTGGGTCAGGTAAAGTAATTATTTAATTGTTTCCAAACTTTAGTTTCTAAACTACAAAAGGTCAAACAATCTTCATAGGCATACTCTAGTTGCATAGTACATATCCTTTATGTTATGATCGAATAATGGTTATCGTAATCCTTATTTCTATTATATTTAATAAGATATAATCTCAATTTATTATAGTAGTGTAAAAATGTTGTCGTCTTCCATAAATATTTTATCTTTAAAACTTTAAATAATACTTTAATAATTTGTGCTTTTGAAATTATAACTTGCTGACGTGTATTTGACTTTTGGTACTCAATATTTGCATGTTTAAGAATATAAGAATATTTAAAATATTTCTAACGTTCAGTTTTAATTTTTTTGCTAGAATATACTTTACTGAAACCTAATTATGAAGACTGGATTTCACGTAATGTAATAAAACAGCATAGACTCATTATCACAACTAAGCATCAAATCAATAGTTAACCCTATATTCTTATAATACCGATATGATTATAGTTGATTCAACTTTGACAGAGAGAGAGAGAAAGATAGAAAGAATGAAGATAACAACCTTCGAATTTCAAGCCAGTACACCACTTAGACAATTTATATAATTTATTTTTCTAGAATTTAATTTTAACTTTTCTATGAATATTTCTAGTGGACAGTACGAACATATCTAACGGTTCATTCTTTTCGTTCAATGAAATAAAAATTGTTATAACAGTTAAAAAACAAAATGTGTAAAAAAGTTCAGGTAAATCAAGATTGTAATAAAATAATTTATTCTTATGCCTTCTCTCAGTTGATAAAATATAATTGTCATTGTTAGTTTTGTACCAATGCTAGTTGGCGAAAACAGTTTGCGTCAGCTTTCTACGTCTTAAATATCGCACCAAACTTTTCTCTTTAACTTTCATCGGTCTCGCCTCTTCCTGTGAGAGGGGTGACCCCTGTGTCATAACTTAACGTGAGATGTGTAATTATTATGACGTGAATGAAGAGTGAAAAACAAACCGTATAATTACCTAGAGCATAATTTATGTAGTTATATAATAATTAACACTTGCTAGAACTCTTAACTAAAGCACGTCCATGTTTATATTTGAAAAATATATAGTATTTGAATATAGTAGGAGAGATAGAGAGATGAGACGTTTATTCTTCTAACTTTTATCTCCAAGTCTCTCACACACACATATACACATATATATATATAACATTATTGTTTGTACTATCTCTGAACAGGTTGATGTTAGTTATATCTAAATAAGTTAACATTCTTAAACTATCAGGAAGTCCTTGATACTCACATACACATATCAAATAGCGAAATTAGGAATATTGAATTTTTATACAAATATAGAAAAGAATCATTTCACATTATTTTCAAATTTTGTTGGCAGTGATTTGGAAACCGGTAAACCTACTTTAAAATCATTGGTGTTGCACATAAAGAAGGTCAAAAATTACTTTGCAATGATGTCAAAATCGTGTGAAAGTGTATCATTCAATTTCTAAATACATGTTAGATCAAGATTAGTTTATAAATATAAAAATGAATTTGAACAATTAAAAAGTTAAAATACTTTGTTATCTACAGAGATTTCAAGCTTGGTATGTAGTCTTAATGAAACCGAACAATACATTTACAACTAAAATCTTGAGGATACCTGAAATTATACAGAGATAACAATTAAGAAGGTGACTACTCTTTTTGACATTTCACTTGGATCTAATGATATAAAACACCGCAGTTAAAGCTCGAAGAATAAGGTACAACTTGGATATAACTTAGACTCATAATTGTATGATTAAATAATAGGCATATTCGAGAAATATTTCTCCAAGGTATGAAAAAAATTAACACTGATTTTCGTTTGTTTTAGCACAAAACATCACAATGGGCTGGATGTGTGCGTTCAGTCCGCCACCGGAAAACGAACCACGGATTTTAGCGTTGTTAGAACGTACAGTTACCGTTGACTCACCGGGTGACAAATTATTAACGAAGGAATCGGGAAGTGTTAGTAAATAATATAATATTTATGTTTGGGAAAGAATATGGGTGAAATTTTACAGGAATTATAAGGTATAAAGTTTGATTTTACTTGTTTGGTAGTTATGGAAACTTGGCGTACAGATAATGATATAAAGATTAATATTCAGGGTTTTTCTGCCTAGTTTTTAAATGGGCAAGACACAAAAGGTGATGGACTTGTACCTTATATCAAAGAAGAAATATTGTTGCTGTTTGTAAAAGAATATTTTGATATTGAATAAATGGCATTGAAGTTACTGTTTTCAAATTGAAAATTCCCATTTGGGCTGCCTGTACACAGGCCACCTGGAATTTTTGAAGAGTATCTTAATTATGTTAAATAAGAAACAATTTTATTTTAAAACGTGTATGCATGTGATTTGTTTGGGTTAGTTTATTATAAAAAAATTATAATGATTTAAATTTATCAACAAGAGTGGGAGAAAATAGGTATACATTAGTATATTGTGCCGTATCTAATTTTGAAAGGATTATAATGGAGGTTCTATTGTTTTGTTTTTATAAATGATTATTATCCTGTATTTTACTTAATACACGTTCGTTATCTACCAGAAGGTAAACTAATGATATTAATGTAAAAGAAACTAAACGATAAATTAAATTTTGTACTGTGGAATATGTTGTACAGTATAGATGATGCAAATGAAACTTCTTAATATTTTTCAAAGTTTTTGGAGTCATCACAACATCCGTTTACCCGCATTTCTAAGGAATATTTTATATATATAATAATTTGATAAATAATTAATTATAATGCAAGGTATACTGGCTTATAAAGCAAAATTCAATGGTAATTCTGATTACAGAAATAAATATACAAAGGTGTACAGGAATAATTATCAACAATTGTTAGAAATATGAAGAAAGTATTTATCATAGTATTCGACTTTCTCAATGTGATCTTAAAAGTAAATGGAACTGTTTTAACAATATCTTTCTAAACATAAAATTATCAACAAGACAACCTATTTGTGACATCGTTGTGGATAACGCTATTATAACTGATTCTCTAAGTAAAGCAAATGCATTTCGTTATTTTCTGGCAATTTAATCACACTGGTAATAGGTAGAGATCTGAATGTTCTAAAAATAATGAAATAAGTTTATTTTTTAAAACAATATGCATTGGTGAATTAATGTATATATATAGTAAATAATACCAAAACAGTGGGACTTGATAATATCTCAGTAAAAGTTATCAACAATGATTGAGTTTATTGTTCTTCCATTAGAGTATATAATAATTTAGGTATCGAATGTGAAACGTTTCCTGATCTATTTAAAAAAAAAAAGAGTTGAAATTATATAATGTACTTAAGAACGTTGATAAAAGTAAAAATTAGTAATTATAAACCAATAAGCATATTGAATGTATTTAAAGAATAAATAATAGAAACATTAATCTATAATAGAATATGTGGCTTTGTTAATAAATATAATCCATTGTTTGAACACCAATATTAATTTAAAAACTATGTGAATATACTGTAGAAAATGTCGTGAAGGTGAGTTTATCATAGCAATGTTATTAGCGTTATCTAAAGCATTGAGAAGTAATTGCTAAAACAAAAATTACAATATGAGAATAAGAAGTAAAATCTTTTATTAGTTGGAAAGTTATTTGAAGAACAGAACCTTAGCAGTTAACGTACACAATACTGATGAATTATTAATAACAAGAGGTAAGGTACATAATACTGATGAATTACTAGTAACAAGAGGTAACGTACATAATACTGATGAATTATTAGTAACAAGAGGTAACGTACATAATACTGATGGATTATTAGTAACAAGAGGTAACGTACACAATACTGATGAATTATTAGTAACAAGAGGTAACGTACATAATACTGATGAATTATTAATAACAAGAGGTAACGTACATAATACTGATGAATTATTAATAACAGGAAGTAACGTACATAATACTAATGAATTATTAATAACAAGAGGTAACGTACATAATACTGATGAATTATTAGTAACAAGAGGTAACGTACATAATACTGATGAATTATTAATAACAAGATGTAACGTACATAATACTGATGAATTATTAATAACAAGAGTTAACGTACATAATACTGATGAATTATTAATAACAAGATGTAACGTACATAATACTGATGAATTATTAATAACAAGAGTTAACGTACATAATACTGATGAATTATTAATAACAAGAGGTTCTGGGACTATTTTTGTTCTTACTATATGTTAATGGTATACTAGTCCTATTACTTGACATTTATGGTAGATGAGACTATTGACACCACAATTATATCTCATAATAATAATTTAAATGATTTAATATAAATGATTAACTTGTCACTAGATAAGAACGTTGTTGGCTTAGTGATAGTGATTTGTTTATTAATCTTGAAAAGACTAATCCTTTTTTTATAACTATTTTTCTTATGAATTTCGCCCAAAGCTACACGAGGGCTATCTGCGCTAGTCGTCCCTAATTTAGCAGTGTAAGACTAGAGGGAAGGCAGCTAGTCACTCACCACCCACCGCCAACTCTTGGGC